GATACAAAATTGCTTACTTTATGCGATTTAAAGCATGCATTATACTGTCTTAAGCCTATGCTCAGTTTTAAGCAATAAGTTTAATGTAGAACAGCCTGAGCAATTCCTTAAGTAGAGCAATCTCTTTATATGATGATACATTTCCTACAACAAATAAATATGTATCATCTCAATATAGTTCTCAAATGTACTCATTAATATGAAAGAATAACCTAGATAACCTCTTTCAAATCAAGCTTCAGTAATATGACCCTATTTTTCAGACATTCTTTGCATCCATATAATCTATTGTTTCAAATCTCTTGTATGTTTTAACCTGAATTATTTAAAAAGCCTGAGGGATTCTGTATGAAATAAATGAATTATATGGAAGAGTTTTCTAATATTATAATTGATAGAATTCCAGACAAAAGAGGATTTGTTTGTTTTCCTCAGGAACATGGGTCATGTGTTTCACCTGTTCCATTTGGAAATGAAGAAAATATGATCTAGAGCTGCAGAAGAAGCCTTGCTGTGACTCATCTCATCCTGCATTAATACAAAAAAAAGGGGGAAGGAGAAAGCCTACTGCCCTAATTAATTGAGGTAGTTCTTCTTTCTATAGCATACCTATGTTATTAGTACTCAAAACAGTACCGTACTTTTTAAAATATATATATATACCTAGTGTCTTTGGCATCATAAAATATCTACAGTAACAAATTAGACCCAGACCTGATAAGAGCTCAGGCTTAGCCTTGAGCCTTGGAATCTTTTATCTGGGAAGAAGGAGCACCAGCAAGGCCATTCACACCCAACAGGGGCTCCAGCAACTGTTCCAGCTAACGGCTGGACAAGCAATGCCTGGACACTGTATCAGTCTAAGTCTCTGATACTGTAAGAATTGACTGCAGCTACAGTCTATGTCTACCATAGAAACAGGATCATTCAAATTATCATCAGTGTCAAGCTCTGATATAGCAGATAAAGTTGGAATTAAAATACAGGCTTTATCCACGTCAGAGCTGTATTGATTTAATTTCAAGTGCTTTAAAAAAAACCAGAGCAAGTTAGATCAAAGTAAATTCCCTGGGGATTCCAAAAGTAATTAGTTTTACACAGAGCTTATATTAATTTAGGGAGGTTCTATGTTAGTCTATCACCAATAAATCATGCCTAGGTAAACATTGCAATCAGTTTAACTTCATTGAAATAAACCTATTTTCAAATCAATAAAATCATTTTCATTTATGCTGAGGGATTGATTTAAGATTACATCTTTGCTATTGGCAGTGCTCTTCAGAGTGCTAGAGTAGTAACACTGCTGAGCAAGACCCTCTAAAGATAGCAAAGAACAAAAGCTCCACAACAACCAGGAAGCAGCTCAGGCAACTCCCCTGTTACCTACAGTCATGATGAAATCTGAGAGGGAGAGGCTCAGCCGGAGAAGCAAACTTCCAGTTTCTGCCAGCCCTGAGGGTATCCACAGCAAAACCAGCCAGGAGCTGAGCCTCTCCTGGCCAAGCTTTCCAGCCAGAGACCAATTGGTCAGAGGCCCCTTCAGGCTGCTTTTCTACCTTCCTGCACTCAGCAAAGAACTTGCACAACCTGGGAATGCTTCCCACCTGTGCTTGCCCTTTGCAGGTGGCTTGTCCTCACCAGGTGCCTCTCATTTAGACAGCACCCCAAAGCTGGGTTGCTGCAGTAATGTGTTGAGTGCTTGTCTAAGGTGTTCTGGGTATGTTCAGTGTTCCAGCCTCCTGCTGAGGAGCTGCTTGTTTGGCTTGCTGTGCTTTACCCTACTTGCATGGTACCCCTATTTGCCTTGTACTAGCTCTGTTGCTCATTTGAGTGTTTTCATTGCCTGACCTACCTCACTGAGCATCCCCCCACCTTCTTCCCCTCTTTTTTTTTTTTTTTTGCTAGGTTAATTTTCTGTAGTTGTTGGGAGTTAAATCAACTCCCAGAGCGTTCTGGAACTCATGCAAAGAGAAGCAGAGAGGAGGAACAGCTGGGAGCAGCACAGGTAAGCAGGGCCTCTTTTACACACTCCAGTAGGACCCCATGCGTTTTTGCAGAGCTGTGCTGCAAATCTAGACTGGCATGTCTTCTCCCAGAGTGAGCATGGAGGGACTATGTTACAAGGAGCAAAAAAACAGCTTTGAGGGGAAAAACTGCTTGAGCTACGTGGATCTGGGCTCCCACTTTGCTGGCTTAGTTTGCGTAGCGCTAATGTGGAGCTGGTTTGTGCAGGGGAAGATCTTGGTGCTGTCCTGGAGGAAGGACCTGAGCTTGGTAAGGGCTGCCCCATCCCTTGGATTTTGGGTGTCCAGAGAGATGCTGCCTGTTCTTACCTGCTGTTGGCAGATACAAGGTATGAGTGATCTGCTAAAAAAGCCGTGTTATTACAGGACTAGGACTGTGCTTGGGAACTGTAGTTCTTAAGTCTAAGTCTTAAGAGTGGTATGAGGTGCTTTGCCAGCCCCCAGTGAGTCCCTGCTGGATGTGGGTTGGAGCCAGGTGGATATACCCCTGCAATGCAAAGGAAGGACAACATTGCAGACACTGTCCTAGGGCTTAAAGAAAACCTCACTGTATTGCATGCATTGTCATGCAGGGGGAGGCTTTGGATCATTTTCTTCATAACAGCTTGAAACATCTGAGGATTTTGTTTGATAAATCACATGAAGCACAAGATGAATTTTCCCTTGCAATGCTCTAGCTCTTCATACCCGTCTCTTTCCCTGATCTAAGCAGTGTATTTCCTCGCTCCTCCTCTCAGCTGGTGGTTTCTGTGGAAACTAGAAACTCTGTGAACGTGTCCTGCCTCCTGAAGGTCTTTCATTTCTTGACCTATCCAGCACCCGGGGCTATGGCCTCCCGCAACGTGTTAGCTGAAAAATGCAGAGAAGATGATGGGATGATATTCCATTTATAATAGCATCAAAATGGGTGTGTGTGGGGAACCTCCCTTATTATTTTTTCCCCAGTAAAACATCCCATGTGCTAAGCCAAGGGGCAGGCCTGGGTGCTGGGGTGGGTGGCACTGCCGTGGTCCTGAGGGCTCTGCCAGGGGCTCCTGTAGCTCAGGACAGTGGAAGGGGTGCTGAGGGGGTGGCAGGGGGCTGCTCTGCTCTGGCACCTCCTCTCCCCTGCGGTATCACACCGCTACTTTCCAAGCTGCTGGTGTGTGCCGAATCCAGGACAAATGCTGTTTTTCCACACTGAAGAGGGTTTTTTCCCCCCCCCCTCTTTTTCCCTCATTGTTAGGACTGAGCTGCACATAACAGACCTGTACACAAATAAACTTCCAGGTGCTTTTATGAGGGATGGGGGAGAACTTAGGGCGACTGTGTTGGCGGGGAGGTGGGCCCTGGGAACCAGACACAAGAGCAACAAGCCTGAGCCCTTCTCCTGGGACAGGAGCGATCCGCAGGAGGCCAAAGCTGAGCTGAAATGAATGTGGGTTCACCGGGCATTGCCTGTGTCCCTGCGGCTGCCGCGGCAGCGTGAGGAGGGCGCGGGGCAGGCTGTGGCGTGGCAGGCCCGGCCGCTCGCAGTGTGGGGACGTGGCGCTCGCGCGGCCGCGGGAGCCAAGTTGGAGGCGTCGTGCTCTGCTTTGGTGTTCTTCCAGAAACCTCGTGTTCCTGGAAGAAAGGCGTTTCACGCAAATCTCAGTTTAAAGACTTAGCCTGCTTGGCCAGCAGGAAAGGTGACCGCAGGGTGAACGCAGCCCGAAGAGGCAGGAGCTGCCACAGTGCGTTGTTCCCCTGTGTCAGGGCCAGTCACTTGTCTGCGGGGCTTGGGAAAGAGATTTCCCTGCTTCTCATTTGGGGAACCGGCTCGAGTCCCTCGGAGAGGCCTGACCCATGGAGGAGACGCTCCCCACCACGCTGGGTAGCGGGAGGGCTGCGAAGGTCACGGAGCAGCTGGGCCGCCCGCCCTGCTCAGCTCCTCCTGCAGAGCCCGACGGCCGCTCAGCCCTGCTCTGCTGGGACAGCACTTAGTTTACGAGATTAGCAGAAAACTAACCTGTGCCCAACCCAAAAAGCAGTGTCCTTGGAAAATGTATGACAATTTGGACATTCCTTCTGGGAAGCTACTTCATAAATAGCAAAACCATCCCAGGAGTATTTCAGTTCAGCTTTATTTTAGAAAATGTATTGGAAATGATACAGTGTACAACACAATTACTGTACTTCACAAAAAATCATGCAAACATTTTGACTGGTAGATTTTTTAAAAAATGTTTACTCATAAGCAGTCTCCCTTCAATACCAGATTTACAGCAACTGGAACCTCATATGAGTTTTCATATGGAGATGAGAAACAGCTGTGAAAACCAAGACAGCACATCTGATAGCAAGAGAGGCTTCTCCTGCGTGGCTACTGAGACAGAGACCGCTGTATCTGTGTGTGTTTGGGCATCCTGGAACAAGGGAGTCTAGTTCAGCAACTTGAGAGCAAGAGAGTTTCCTTTGACATAGAAATAATAAACCATTTTGCAGCATGCCCCTGTTTTAGCTCATGTAAGGGGGAAAACAATACTTCAGCTTTTGACTTTTTCTTTCCATGCAATATTTATATTGTGTCCGTAATATTTGATATGGTGGCCCAAAGAAAAGCCTCATTAGTAAGATAGGGTATATTTGTAGTATTAAGCCCTTGAAGAGCATCTTAACAGCACCACAAGTATCTCCATGCAGCAAAAGCTGGCAGAGATGAAGGGAAGGGGAAGATAAGAAAGCTTTTTTCTGGAGTAAAGGTTACATTTTGCACCAGTGTTGAAGCTGCATATCCATTACACCTTTGAATGGCTACAGAAAACCTAACAGGCAACTTGGAGATTTAGAAGACTCATAAGGCTACTTTAAAGTGAGTCTTACTGATCCTAGTACCCTGTGGCATGTTTGATGACATCAATTAAATATCCAAATAGCCGACACAGGCTGTTAGCTCCAAGCATGTCGAATCACCTGATAATCCCCTGCGTATCCACGTACAGGCTATACTTGCTGGAATGAGCTCTCCTATGCATTTTCTGCTTTTCCTCCACTGGATAGTCTCTCCTCCTATATTTCATTGAGATAATCTTGATCAGGGTATATCAGGAAGCCAGTAAATAAGCTGTCAGTCCAGTAAGGATCGTAAAAGAGCCCATTCTGCTCTGAGTAAAAGATCTGCAGCCATACTTCATCCTCCTCCTTCAGAGAAAGAATAGTTGATCCTGAGGCAACGTCGTGGTTACCAGTGTTGGCATCAAAGGTCTTGATCCGGTACTGCCCGTTGTGGACCAAGCCAATGGCCAGATGTTTGTTGGCCAAAGTGATATCATATGTGAAATAGTAAATACCTGGAATGCTGCATATAAATTTCCCACTGGAAGCATTGTAATGTCCTCCCTCGTTCATCAGGATCCTGTCAAATTTGATGGGCAGTCTTTCTCTTGGGTAACTTTTTGAGACAGCTACAGAGAAGGCGGATTTGGCTGCTCTGGCATTGCAGGTGCAGGGACCCGGCATCCCTGTCTCGCCCTTGTTCCCTTTGGGCCCTTTCTTTCCTGGTGCTCCATTTTTTCCAGGATTACCCTTTAAGCCCTTCGGCCCTCGTGGACCTGCTTTGCCAACAGCTCCTGCTTTCCCCTTCTGCCCAGGCTTGCCTGGGTTTCCTGTTCTGCCTTGTGGGCCTAGAAAACAAAGGACACTGTCATTTCTTTCAGAGAAAGACATGATATGGTGAGTGGAAAGTTGTATCATAGCAGTTTACTGCATGTGAGAAGAAAAATCTCTGGTGAAAAGCTTATGAAATACCACCTTGGGCTGGAAGTGTGTCAGGGCTGGCTGACCACGTTGTGCAGATAGAAGGTGTTACAACCAAGGGGGTCTGGAGGAGGTAGCCTGCCCCTTCTGAGGACTGAGAGACCAGTCGTTATCCGAGTTGGCTAGGAAAGGCGTAATTAGGTATGAAGTGAGCTAGGAGCAGGCTCTGAACCTCTGGATTTTAAAGGAATGGCATTGGTTTGGAAAACCTTTTTTTGAAACTAGCCTAGAATAGACAGGATTTCATCCTCCTGTCTATAATAGATAACTATATTAAATGTAAAAATTAATCTATTGTATAGATCAGGTGTGGTGTAGGAGCCCTCCTAGCTGGGAGCTGGGCCAGATGTGAGCTGGGATACATTAGGATACAAGGTGGCCTCGAGATGGGGAGCAGGTTGGATGCTGTCCCAGTGATGCCGAAACCACTGATTAGCATCAGTTGTGGTAGAGTCTAATACAAAAGAAATTAATGAGGACTTAAATCTCGCTTCTGAACCTGCTGTAGCAAGACGAGATTTAAACGTAGCTGTGGATGGAAACCTGTACTCCAGATTTCTTTCTGATGGGTGAAACAAGAGATGATGCAGCCTTTGCATGCTGTTATTGTGCTGAACCCAGAGTGCACTAGTGTGGCAATGGGAAATCACTGTTCTGTATGTGCGTTTTTAACTGAAATTAGTTCTTATGCGTAGAATAAGCATTTACCTAAATAAGTATTATTAAAAGGTGTGGGGGGAAATTGTTGATGCATCTTTTTGGGTTGAACGTGGTCAGGGAGGTGCTTGCTAGCCGGGTGGAGCGCCCTGGAGAGCCACCAGCAGGAAGGTGGCCGTGGCGCAGCGCGCTCCCGTGCGCCACGTCCCTGCCCGGGCCACGCGGCCAGGGCGCCTCGGCCCGTATGCAGACCCCATGGTCAGTGACCACCGCTGAGTGGGCAGCTCTTGGGCCTCCAACGGGGCTGAGAGTGCTCACCAAAATGCCACTGCGCTTTGGGGAATAGCGGGTACTTTTTTTCTCTTTCCTTTTGACTTTATTTCTCCAAAGGTCATGGAGACCAACACCATCTGCTCTAGGGATATAGGCCAAAATAGGGAAAATCTCACTCTGGAGAGAAAAAAAAGGGCAATAATAAAATTAAGAAAATAGACTCCATTAGAATTCCATCCACAAACCATATTTTTAGCAGGTTTTGGCACAGTGTTTGGAACGAGGTTTGAGACATTTTTCTCTCGGTTACAACTTTAATTTAATTCGACCTTCAAGAATTTGACTCTGTGCAAACATAAAAGGTCCCGTCTGCCGCTCTGGCAGCCGTGGTTGAACTAAGTAGAGGTACCCAGGGGCGATGGGGGAGACTGGAACCTGTTGGCAGGAGCTCCCGAGTGGGGATGCAGGACAGGGGAGAGCAGGGCTCTTGTCTATCCTGGGACTCGCATTTGGGATAAGTGGCCTGTCACACTATTGCTTTTATATTTTACCCTTGTGCTCTTGGAGGAGGCCCTGGCCTCCCTCTTACCTTCGTCCCCGTGCTCCCCCTTGTCCCCGTCCTTGCCGTCTTTGCCGTCTTTCCCAGGGAAGCCCATTCTGCCGACGGTCCCCGGGGAGCCAGGCGCTCCGGGGGGCCCAGGGGGGCCGGGGGGCCCCGGCACGCTGCACGCCAGCTGCTGGGGGCCCTCCTGCAGCCCGCCCTTGACGGAGCCGCTGAGGATGTGGTTGGCCACGCAGGGCACAGTCCAGAGGAGAAGCACAGCCGAGATCATGGTGCAGCCTGTGGGAAAGACACGGAGTTTTCACCGATACGTGCAGAGGCCGCCGCGTGTTTGTGTGTGCGGGAGCGTTCCCTCCGCTGCAGATCTTTGTGAAAATAGGAGCTAATGAGGCCTCCTTGGCATTGGATAGAGGACCCACTTTGGCATGATGTAAATCAAGGAATTTAGCTCATCGAGTTTTCCAGGTCTTAGTGATTTTTCTTTTTTACAGACTTGTGCTTCCGCGAACAAGTATTTGTGGCCGCCCCTTGTACTCGTACTTAATACGAGCAGAAATGTAAAAGTAAGCAAACAGTCTTCCAGATACTTCTTCATGCTTTGATGCTCAAATAAATTTGGAGTAGTTTAACAGGGATGCAGTAGAAACATAAGCTGTGGTATCCCAGACCTTTTAATCTGTTATAGGTCTTTTGTTCAAGCAATGTCCTCCTTGATATTAAGTCAAATAATGGGAGTTTTTAGCATCTTCCCAGTAGTTAGAATTGCCTCTTGTGCTGGAAATGAGACATTCACAGTATTTTATAAATTCCACGTTGGACTTCTCTGTCATTCTGGTACTGGCTTCTGAAGGGGATGCAACTGCACGTTACATGCTCCAAATCCAGCAGAACAATATGCTACGTATTAGCGTGGAATTGGGAGCCCCCAGTTCTGCAGTGTGTGTAATTAGGAACATGCAGAGGATGGGAAATGCAAAACAGATCTCTGGGCTGCATTTGGCTGCTAAGCCATTTTGTTCTTCTGGTCTTTTTTGTTTTTCTTGTACTTAAGTTTATTTGCTGCTGCTGAAAGGCGTCACTTTAATGGCCTTATGAGACTGAAACCACAGCCCAGTATTAGGGAGGACAGCTGAATAAAGACTGCTCAGGGGGCAAAACGGAGAACAAAATGCTAGAATGTGTAAGGATAGAGAATAGTTGTCAACATTTCTTAAGTTTCTCATAGTAACTCATCTCAAATGTGACAGAAGGGAAGTGAAAGGTGTTTGCAGAAGGATGAGTGACACCGTGGCAAGAAAACAAAAAAAATGTGGAGCAAAACTAGAAAGGAGGTGGGGCTGCTTCCTGTACAGAAGTAATTGAGGGGGAACACAAGGCAGGGAAGATGTTTTCTTCTCTTAATGTTCCTTAGCTTAAGTACTTCTATTTACCTCCAAACAACCAGAACCAGCAGGAAGGCATGAGAAGTGGCAAGCAAAATACCCTGAGCCTGGCAGCTGGTTACAGCAGGAGGACCCTGAGGCTATGGCTGGTAGTACCGATACCTGAACAGGCAATAGCGCCCTGCTCGCTCATGGTTTTAAATGAACAGGACTTTGGAAGTGATAGTGCTCCTCAGGCTTCAGGGCACGAGCAGCCGCTGTCAGATGGCATCTGAGCAGAAGCTTCTCCTATGAGTAAAACAGCCCTTACCTCACTGCTCCCCACAGGGCTTCTTGTGCCTACATGTGAGCAGGGGCCTGCTCTCACTGCGGGGAGGATACGGGAGTACACGGAGCTCATCTGCTGCGGTTGTCACCAGAGAGGGGTTAGCTGGAAGGCTCCATAAGAACGTTTCATGCCACATCACAGCAATGCATGTGGGACGAGAAGCACAGTCATGTTCATGAGAGAATCTATAAATAACCTTTTAAAGAAATCTGTTTAAAAGAAAACATGCCTCATGCTGTTCCACCTTAAAAGAAAAATTGGTCCTCAATGTAGAACAAATGATGAGCTCCAGAAAGCAAATTAGAAACATTCAACATCTGTCCTCCCCCAAGTACAGGCGGTGGGCCTGGCAGCACAGGTCATGCAGCGAGGTTTCATTTGAGTGCTTATGTTTCTAAGGACACTTCAATTAAATGTCTTTTGCAACTGGGTTTTGGAGACGCTTCGCCCTTGACAAATTCCTGCTCAGTGGGCTGTGAGAGGGAGCTGCATAGGGAGGGAGGAATCCTCCTGTCCTCCTGACTGAGCTGGGGCACCCAGGTGATGGCTGTAGTTTGTATGCGCTCCAGAAGGACAAATGTGGGAAAAGAAAGTAGGCTGTAAAAGATAGTTCATATCTCAAAAGCCCAGTTGTGGCAGGCCAGGCTTCAGCCAGGCCTCGTCCAGTGATCCATGTGGGCTTGTCCCAGACACGTCCCCGGCAGAGCCCGGCCTGGGAGCAGGCTGGGCCAAGGGAGAGCCTAGAACCAGGCCCTGCTGCCCCTCACGTGCGCAGCGCGTTCCCCTCGGCCGCGGCACGGCCGCGACGTGCGGCCTCGCATTCATGTGGAAAACGCGTGTACTCCCAACAGCTAAAAATATCCATCCGTCCATCGCCTCACTCTGGAATGATGTCTTCTGAAATATTTACAAGCAATGGTGATTTCCATGTTGCTCACTCAAAGGAAAACAGAAGGGAAAATTTCCACAGGGTTCCCAGGGACACAAGTCTGCTGTGCCTTCAGTACAGCCCTCAGGAGTTTTATGAATATATATATTAAAAAAGGGTTTCTGTAAGAAAAGATTTGCCCTTCAGAGTGAACCCCAGGCAAGCAGGATCCGGTATTTCTCCTGTAGCTCACGGGGCAGCCGGGCTGTAATCAAGTCAGAGGGAAAATCCCACGAGTGGCAGGTGCCGGACGCGTTGGTGCTTCGGCCGCGTGCAGAGGCTGGACGGGCGTTCGGGCACGTGTGTGCAGGGCAGGATGTAGCCCTGGCAGAGAGCAAACTGCATTGGCTTTCTACTCTGCCTTTTTTTTTTTTTTAGGTTTTACTAAACAAAGCAACATCTTCATGCTTCAGAATTTTACAGAATAGCTCAAGGAGTCCGGGCTTCAAAATAACCCATTTGCCCATGAGCCTTACTCTGACCTCGGCTGATTATTTGCTGTGTTTCTGGGGTGGGAGCAGGGCAGTCGTGGCCATACAGCCCAAAACAGTGACTTAGACATAATGAGATGTGCTGCTGGCATCAGCGGCAGCACAGTCAAAATGGATGCATTTAGTTTTGGACATAACCCATGAAGTAGCTAAGCCAGATATGAATTTGCTCCATTATCTGTTTGTAAACACAAAATAATGTCAAAAGAAATCAAGAGGAATGACACGTTCTGTGCGTGGCATTGCCTGCGCTCTCCCCTGCAGCAAACCTCTCCCAGGCCTGTGAGTTATCAGTCTGCGCCAGAACAGAGCGGGAAGGCTGCAATTTAAAGGGTATGAACTGGCTGCTTCCAGCTGTTTCCCTGCTGGAATATTTCTTTTACCTTGAGACTGTGTCACTGCGGATTCCTCTGCACGCACCGGGAGCCTGAGTGCTCACTGACTGAGACCTTATTTGGTAACTTCTTCAAAGTTAAGGTTAAGAGAGGAGAGAAAGAAGTGGGGGAAAGAAGGAAGCAAAGGACCTGTACTCACCAGAACAAAACCCTGCAGTGAGATCCTGACGTGCGCTGGAAGCCTACAGATTTTTCAGCAGATGTTTTAGCTGCAAAACCCTGTCACGGTGCAGAGCGCGGCCCCCCAGGCCTGCTGCGACGCTCCCTTCCGAGGGGGACATGCAGTTTTGCTCCTTCTTTTTATTTATGCTTTGCTCCGTTCTGCGTGTGTTCCTAGCTTCCTGCAGCAGCTCCAAGTTTGGCTCAACTTTGCCAAAGGCATATTTGTATTATTGTGTAATGGGTCGGAGCCTCTTCCTCTGTCACGTGGCAAGGGAAGAAATTTTTACACACATATGGCTAGAGAGCTCTTGGTGCCTGGGGAGCTTTTGCCTTTCTCTCTCTCCCTTTGTGCTCTAGTGTGAAACATCCAGTTTTCCTGGATTGTTTCTGACTGGTTCAGGCTTTCTCTGATGTAGTTGCTGCTTGTACAAGCAGACTTTGTACAGGGATGGGTAACATACATAAATCTAGGGAATAATATTGACACTGGATCTAGAACAATAGCGAGGGAAGCAAATCTTAACCTAAGGGTAGAAATTCAGCTCTTGCTTCCAAAACAATTTTAGCCAAATTAGTAAAAGAAGATTGCCCCAAGGCTTGAAGTAAAACAAGCCTGTTGCTGCTCATAGACCTAGCCATAAAGCAGAGAGGTTTGAATGTGGGAGGCTCAGGAAGAGGCTGTGCGGACTCACTGCTCCTTCAGGGGAAGCCATGGGGCCAAACACGGCGAACCTGACCCAAAGATGAGGGGCAGAAGCATTTCTGCCTTTGGAAAAGGCTGGAACTTTTCTTCTTCTTTTCTTTTCTTTTCTTTTCTTTTCTTTTCTTTTCTTTTCTTTTCTTTTCTTTTCTTTTCTTTTCTTTTCTTTTCTTTTCTTTTCTTTTCTTTTCTTTTCTTTTCTTTTCTTTTCTTTTCTTTTCTTTCTTTAAGCTTGCACAGTATTGACAAGGAATAGCAAATATATGATAGAATGGGAATTCAGGAATCCTGGGACGAGCAGGTAGCTGTATCGATACAGAAGCGAGTGCTGGGGAGCACCTGCCCCTTCTTGTTGTCCTCCGGCAGGTGATGGTGTCCGGTCCCTCAGGAGAGTCCTGTCCTGCCTTGTACCGATGCATTAAACCCAGAATTTGCAAAAGCCGGCGATGGGCGGGAGGTTACGGGCACGTTGCCCGGCCGGATGGAGCCGTGGGTGTCTGCTCCCACGCCGGGCCAGCTGCTGGGACGTGAGCCAGCCGCAGTGTCATGCAGGAGGGATGCAAGTAGCCTCTTTGGGGCAGAAAGCTGTAGCTGTGGTAAAATCTATGAGGACGCTTAAGCAAATCACTAATAATTTGATTATTTCCTTGATTCTCCATAGACCAGAAGGAGCGAATAGATCCTTCAGCTCCATGCAGAGGCTGGTTTTGCTGCTGCCGAAGCTGTCCAGAACATTGCTCACCATGTCAGTAAAGCTCCTATAGCATCTGCTCCAAATCTATCCTAATTTTTTATATAAATAAAAATATATATATGTGTGAGTGTAAGTATGGATACACGTGGTTTGCTTTGGCAGCTGCAGCGAGCTGAACGGCCCGGGCAGCA